TCTGCACGAATCTTTTCCAGTCGTCGCAGGGGCACCATAACACTGGCATAGCACGTGTCCATGCGTGAGCGGACAACATCACTTCCCTTTACCACACCATCTGCCTCTTTTGTTTTCTTCAAAAACTCTTCTGCTGACCACACCGTTTGAAGGAGAGGAAATGTACAGGACACACGCTCACGAACTCGTATAATTGCAGAAGGCTGATCCGAATCTTTCCCATCACGCCCATCGATATCACTCTTTCTTCTATGCAGGCGGGATAAAATGGCTGCCTCCAATTTTTCCATCAGTGAATTCTGGATGTGGTAGAAATGGCAAAAAGAAAAACCAAACGGTTCCAAAGAGCGCGCCCATTCAACTTCCAGCTCCAATGAAATTCTGGGAATTAGCGGTGTCTCGTGACGAAACAGCGGTGCGCCCTTCGTTAATTTCGGTTCAGAAAGCACAGGAGGGTATGTATTAGCAACATGACACAACTTCTGCATATCTTCAAGGTTTGCCGCCTGCGTACCAGGTGTAAGAGAGGGTAGGGTTTGAAACACGTAGAGTAACGACTTCGCGGCATGGGCGCAGCTCCGTGTTCGATCGGACGCACACAGCCTCAGCAGGAAAGACACCTTCCCTGAAAATTGAATTAAATTCAATTCAGCCGCGTCGTCACCATGTTGACGGACAATATCTGCCAATGGAAGTGAAAAAAGTGCCTCTGGCCAATCTCCCTGTGCAAGTAAACTCTGTAAGCATGCTACCTGAAAACATAAGGGATCTTGTTTCGGCAAAGGCACCTGCTCACTACGGGACATGACATCGTTATACCACTCTAATGCATCACACCACGGTGCAACAAAAAACGCCTTTGTAGGCGGATTCTTCCGTAGTGTAAAGTTAAGTAAGCAAGAAGAATACGACTGAAGACTTAAAGGAACACCGGATGCCCGGGCAAACGCAACGATTTTTAACGTCAACGTACACCGAGGCACGTGAGGCAGGGGACTACTTCCAATACAACGCAACACACGGGCAGTGGACAGATCTGCGGGCACGTGTGGACGACGATGGGAGTTCATGGCGTCCTTTGCGTTGGCATCATCCTCTATAAAATAAACTGCTTCTCGGTAGTATTTTACAGCCTCTTCCCAAAGTGTACAACCATGCCGCATAGAAGACAAGCAACGGATGGCTGCAATATAAGCCTCAATGTCCATCTTTTCCTTGGGCGGTACAAGACGGAGGAGGTGCGTCATAATCTGATGACCCGTACGACCATCCACATCATATAAAATAAGCCCAACAGCATTGCACATACGGGAAAAGCTGTGACCATCCGTGAGAAGTTCCGGAAAGAACTCAGAAGCCCCCATTAGTAACCACTCAAGAAGAGAAGTAAACTTGACCACACGATCCTCTACAACATGGTTCGCCTCGTACTCTTGTTCCACAGCGGTATAGGTGAAAATAGCCACCCCCTTCTTTTGTAGACGCCGCGTAGGCACAATGTTGTACTCCCACCGCGGTGTCAATTCCTCAACAAGGGCACGACTAAACTCCAAGAAACGGCGTACTGCCTTCGTCCCATTTTCGATATGCATGCGCTGGATGTGATGAAGTAGCCCAGAGGTCAATGGTAGAAGTGCATTCCATAGTGCCTCACTGAGAAACCGCGGTGGCGGCCTCTTTGCACGAATCGGGATTTCCTTCAAATGAGCAAAGACACTCGTCCCAAGAAGCTCCGTGAGCGTCAGAAGAAAACACACATCATGCCTGGGCGACACATTCAATGCAACTCCACCGCACCTTCCATGTCTTGCTACGTCGGTTAAGAGCGTCAATTCTTCAGTGTCCCCCAAAGAGGGCGTTAATGACAACGGGTTCACACCACCATTTCCTGTTGGAAGTTGGCGCGAACTGCCGCCCTGAAGAATCGACACCGCATGTCGCAACGTGACCGAGGATTGAAGTTCCCACAACAAGGTTGAGACATGCGATGACACTCGACGGTCGCGTGAACCGTCAGAAGTCCCTTCTGAGAAACAGGAAATCCCCGTTGAAAGGGAAAAAAACACCGCATCAAAGAGAACCAAAGCCAACGCGTCCGGTACCTTTTGGAGTAATGGAGAAGAGAAATCATCGCGGACACGAATTCCCGCCAGATGCTTCAAAATAGCAATCAATTCCGAAAGCAAATTATCGGCACGAGAAGAGTAATATTTAGCAACCAAAAGAAAAACGACCAACTCAACTGCAAGTGCCGTGTACATTTCCTCATCGAGTGCGTCACGCTGAAATCCAATCCACCTCCAGAGTGAATCCAACAAAGAAATCAAATTCTGACCCTGTACACCGATCAATGCAATTAGTTGACGTGAAAGAGTCCCTAGCAACGCATCGGTCATCCATAAAGGTCCAGCCTTCTCCTTCGTCTCCGTTTTTTTCTCTTTGCCTTTCCTCCTCAAAGAGCCATTATCAACAATCCAGTATTCCCGCAGCACTCCAAGGACGGCCTCGCGACGTGCCCTCCAAACCTCTAAAACTGTGCGCTCCCAGCAGGACGATGTAACCTTTGCTTCATGGGTGCTGGTGTCGGTTTCGCAGCTCAATTTTTTTTTCGTTTCCGTTCTCAACTTGTTCCCTCCCGGTACATCGCTTAAGTGGACACACCGCCCAGGCAAAATGTCAGTACGGGAAAGAGCGGTAAGGCCCTTTTTTTGAATTATCGGGTGGCGTCCGTCCGTCTGGTTTTCCTTCACTGTCGCTCGGTACAACTCACATGCTTCCTTGAATTGCCGCGCGCGATCCACGCTACGCTGATCCAGTTTTGAAGCAATTGCCAATCGCTCACGCAGCTCCTTCTGCAAACCTCGTTTCAAGTCAAGCAGCTGCGTCTCTGTACGCAAGTGAAGCGTATTCTTTGCGACACCCGCAATGGAGAGAGGTGCGGCCTCTCCCCCACCCAAAACGTGTTGGAGGGGAAGGATGCGTGTCGACATCCTTTTCCGTTTTTCCTTCAAAAGGACATCGTAGCGTCGCATCGTCATGTCTGAAGAAGAAACAGACATAATCGCCGATGCAAGTGCTTCTGCCATGAAAAAGGAGACGATAGCCTCGTCGTTAAGAAGCTGCTCAACAAGAGCAATTGCCTGATCCCAAACATGCGGAACTCCTGCAGAAGCAGTTATGACCCAGCGAAGTGGGCAAAAATGATTCAACATCGCCGACACCACGGCGACGGCGCATACCAACAGTCGAATACGATCAGCTTGGCTTGTGTCACCATGACCGGACATTGTGGCCTCAAGGGCAGACATCTCCTTTGCAACTCCCACCATATCACCGCCGCCTAAGAGAAAACTCATCTGAAATCTGGTGCCATTGGCCACATCTGTCCAGGCACGGCACCCGTCCACCTCCTCCCTCAGAATGTCCGCCAATGTATGTTTTTCCGCATCCGAAGCGGTGTCATTCGGGCCGCATTTATGCCGCCCCTCCACATGGAAGGAAAGTTTAGCGCGTCTCCGCACCTCACCTCGCTGCAGCGCATCCAAACCTAATTTCTTGGCCTCTGCCGTGATGGCTTTGTGGCGGAGAGCAGTGGCCCACAAAAGCGTTTTCTCTTGACGACAATTCTCAAATTTACAAAATGCAAGAGGCCACAGGCAGGAAGAGGAAGAGAGTGAAGGCGATAATGGGGATGACAAAGAGGTGGCTGATTCAGCAGGAGGTACAGTGACTTTTCTCACAGTAGAAGCTACCTGCTCTACATATGGACAACCTGCTAATGTTCCTGAACGCAAAAAAGACAAAATGGACTTCTCATTCCCAGTCGGCATTCAACTCAGAGTTGATAACGTATCCAAGCATACTGATGTAGCACCGCAGAAACACGCACACACACGCAAACAGACACACAGACACACACGCACGCGCACAAACTCCACGGAGTATCGAAAGTAGGCAAAAGAAAGCAAGAAAAGGTCCTGAGAACGTAAAACACGTGTATACGGGAAATAGCCTCTTCAGACTCCCTTCCTTCCTTCAGCTCTCTGCAGCCTAAACGAAGTACGACAAGAAACAAACAAACGAGACAAAAAAAAATAAAAAAAAGGCAAAAAAAAAAAAAGGATAAAACGTACAACATTACAAATCTCTAAATATGTGTATCCAGTCAAAATGGCGCTTTGGCATCGGGTAACGTGTCCCAGACAGCCCACCTCACGCATTACATAGAGGGTGTAGGAAGAAAGAGGGGAAAAGAGGGGGTTTTCCTCCTCCCTCCCCCCTTCCAAATTTAAAAAAAAAAAAAAAAAAAAGATTTGCCACTACTGCACCCATCAAATAGCCCTCTCTCTTTACTCCTATCATTTTAAGTCGCCTCATTTTAATTTTCATTTACTCCTCTCTCTCTCTCTCTCTCTCTCTTCTTATGGCGCCGTGATACTCGTGTCCTTCCCACCACCGCCAGGCTTGTGTTTCGTCTTGGTAGAAAATTAAATGGCAAAAAGGACCTCCTCGCATACACACATGTATATAGAGAGAGTGTGTGTGAGAGTGAGAGTGAAGGTGAGAGACAAAAATAAAATGTAAATCATAGTTCCTTTTTTTCTTTTTTCTTTCTTTTTTTTTTTTTCCCCTCCTCTCCTCCCTTTCCGCAATTCCTGTCGTAAAATGAAATAATAATAACAATAATAATAATAATGAAGGGAAAAAGAAACAAAAAAAAAAAAACCGAAACAAACAGCTACCCCACCCCCAATATTCCTATCGTTCAATTCCATTATGGAAACAACAGTGAAGACGGATGGCAATTGCTAATTCATCGCGGCCGACAGAAAACAACAACAACAACGAAAGAACGTGAGGGGAGTCAATGAAAAAAAAAAAGAAAAAAAGAAAAAAAAAAAAAAAAAAAGAGAATGAGCCCCCCAAAAAAAAAGAGAGGGAAACATATAACAGAACAAAATAAATAAATGGGCACAAAGTAGTAAGCGTCAACGTATCGTAATAAAAACCTACGAGGGCCCGGAAACAACCTCGCCCTCAAAAAGTGGAAGTAGTTGCATCTCAATCTCTTCCACAGATGCACCAGGCGAAAAACGCGCCACGGGAACACCATGCCTGTCAATAAGGAACGAAGTAAAGTTCCACTTGATGGCTTGCACACCCGCTGATCCAGTAAGGCAGCGCTTCAAATAGCTATACAGCGGATGTGCCTTGTCGCCATTCACGTCAATCTTTGCCATGATAGGAAAGTCCGCCTTAAATTGCGTGCAGGCAAATTCCTTCACCTCCAGCGCCGTCCCCGGCTCCTGCCCGGCAAATTGGTTGCACGGGAACGCCAGAACAGTAAAGCCCTGGCCCTTGTACTTGTTGTAGAGCGTCGTGGCCGTCTCGTAGCCACCCTTCGTGTAGCCACACCTACTCGCCACATTGTAGATCAGCAGCGGATGTCCCTTGTGCTGCGAGAGATCATAAAGCTGATGGTCAGCGTCTAGTATCTGGAAGTCATAGATACTAGAATGAGCGTTATCTGTCCCTTCAGAAGTCATTGTTCTCTCCTTCACACACACACACACACACACACACACGCACTCGCGTTTAACTCCCTGTTTTCGTATTAAAGTTGTTCGTCTTTCTTATCTTTTGTGTATATATTTACGTACGCGAGAATCCTTATTGCGAGTATCTTTTTATTTAGCCTCTTCTTCTTTATGAATGCTAATTATCTCCCCTTTACACTCTTCTTCGCTGCCCATGGTCAACAAGAAAAAAAAAAAAAAAGAAAAAGAAAAGAAGGAAGGAAGAAAGGCAAGGATTCCCCCTTTACAAGCAGAAATGCGTGCTTACAGACATATAATACATACAAAATAAATATATAACATTGTCGTGTTTTCCAAATGTTTTTCCTATTTGTTCCTCATGCCTCTTCCTCTCTGCGTGTATTTGTCCTTATCCATCCGTGTATATACACAGACCCCAAAACTATATATATATATATATATAAACAGAAAAAAAAAAAAGGACATCCAGAAAGGCAACACACATACACAGACACAAACCAAAAATTCTTCAAAACAATGCCCCCATCCTCATACACGCACACACCCTTCCATCACCCTCGTCCTCTTCCCGACGAAATATTTACCCTACTCAAATCCTAGCACCACCAAGAAGCGGCAAAAGTTTTTTCTCAATATCTTCCACAGATGCACCAGGCGAAAAACGCTCCACGGGAACACCATGCCTGTCAATAAGGAACGAAGTAAAGTTCCACTTGATGGCTTTAGTGCCAAAAAGACCGGGAATTGTTGCCTTCATAAACTCATACAGCGGATGTGCCTTGCCGCCATTCACGTCAATCTTTTCCATGATGGGGAAGTCCGCCTTAAACCGCGTGCAGGCATATTCCTTCACCTCCAGCGCCGTCCCCGGCTCCTGCCCGGCAAATTGGTTACACGGGAACGCCAGAACAGTAAAGCCCTGGCCCTTGTACTTGTTGTAGAGCGTCGTGGCCGTCTCGTAGCCACCCTTCGTGTAGCCACACCTACTCGCCACATTGTAGATCAGCAGCGGATGTCCCTTGTGCTGCGAGAGATCATACGGCTTTCCATCGGCTGCGTTCACCTGAAATTCGTAGATGCTTTTCATCTCGGCTGCCCTAAGCAATTGACCGAAACGAAACATTCACTCCCCACACGTCACAGAAGAGCGCAGAGGGGTGGAGGAGAAAAAAAAAAAATCAAAAAAAAAAAAAAAGAAAAGAAAAGGGATTTAAGCAGAACGCAGGCCCCCCACCCCAACCTCCCAAGGGAAAAAAAGAACAAAAAAAGAAACCAAACGAGAGTCAATGCCCCTCACAATCACGTAAAACAATTCATACTATCCCGTGTAGCCGGTCTAAAAGACAACTACGTACGCTTCCCCAATAGAACCCGTTCTTTTATTCCATAAATAATAATAATAATAATAATAATAATAATAATAATAATAATAATAATAATAATAATAATAATAATAATAAAAAGGGAGAAAACGAAAACAAAAAAAAAAAAAAAAACAGATCGCATTATTGTAATGGATATATATATATATATAGATATATATGAAGGTCAAATAACAAAAGCGAAAGCATCCACACAAGGCATTTATACCACTCACCGCCTGCTATATTTAAAATAAAAAACAAACCAAATAAATAAATAAAAAAAAAAAAAAAAGCATGCGATCACAGCCGCCTCCAAGGTACATATTCAGTTGCTCTCATTCAAAATTGGCAAAAGTTTTTTCTCAATCTCTTCCACAGATGCACCAGGCGAAAAACGCTCCACGGGAACACCATGCCTGTCAATAAGGAACGAAGTAAAGTTCCACTTGATGGCTTTAGTGCCAAGAATGCCGGGCTTCAAAGACTTCATAAACTCATACAGCGGATGTGCCTTGTCGCCATTCACGTCAATCTTTTCCATGATGGGGAAGTCCGCCTTAAACCGCGTGCAGGCATATTCCTTCACCTCCACCGCCGTCCCCGGCTCCTGCCCGGCAAATTGGTTACACGGGAACGCCAGAACAGTAAAGCCCTGGCCCTTGTACTTGTTGTAGAGCGTCGCGGCCGTCTCGTAGCCACCCTTCGTGTAGCCACACCTACTCGCCACATTGTAGATCAGCAGCGGATGTCCCTTGTGCTGCGAGAGATCATACGGCTTTCCATCGGCTGCGTTCACCTGAAAGTCGTAAACGGTCGTCATTGATATAACTTCAAATATTTGTTTAAATCGCTGGCAAAAATCCTTAACGTATCTATAGAAATCAAACAAAAAGGAAAAAGGGGGTCATGTAAAGAAAATGGGTTCACCAAATCCTCAATGTTTGCTCCAAGTATATTATATGCATACACGTTCAAATTGTCACCATCGTTGATATGTTGCACTTTTGTTGGGAATAGAAACATTTTTACGTACGAAATGGCAGAGTTTGGGAAGGGTCTTCCAGCCACATGGACCCCACCGCGAGGCGGGGAAATCACACACACACACACACAAAAAAAAAAAAAAGGAGGGTTATATATGTAAGGCGGACGATAAAAATGAAAAATAAAAATAATTTAAAATCGTCTAGACGTTATTGATTCCCTAATTGCTTCAATTGCGGCTAACCAAAGAATTCATAAGACAGGTAAAAAGAAACAGAAAAAAAAAAAAAAAAAAAGAAAAATTGGGAAATACAAAAGTTAAAGGAAGAGAAATAAAAAAAAAAAAAAAAAGAAAAAAGAAAAGAAAGGAGGCATGTGTAACAAAAAAAGAAGAGATACGGCATAATAATCGCAGTTCAACCGCCGCCTCATTTGCCATCACACGGTAACACGGATGGAAGTTACACGTTCAACAGCTACACTGACAGAATCGTGTCATTTTCTCAACCCCACTCCCCCCACCCCAGTCTTTTATGAGCAATGGGAGAGGAATCTCAAACCACCGATATCGACCCACACGACAGAACACCGTGTCATTTAAAAGCCGAATGGCTCCATAATGAAAAATCCCATGAAAATCATCTTGCAATAAAAATGAAGAAAATGGCACCAAAAGGACATCTTGTAATAAACGACGTACATGGGTCGTCTTGCCCCAACACGGCGCAGGATTGTTTTTGTCCTCTGACCACGATGCGTTGCCATTTTGATTAACAGGGTAAAAAAAGCAAGTAACGGTATTGCGTTCGTCTTCCGTATGATAAAATGTCACAGAACGCATTGTGCGATGAACGTGGCGTACAAATGCTGCGTTCCCTACACAAATCATTGCATCATCATTGCACTGAAAACGAACCATCGTCCATGTGGGCCCAATGTTCATCAAGAACAAAGGATTGGGCACTTCATGCGCCCAAAGCGCCACATCATCCGCTATTCTGTATGGGAAAAGTAAAGGCGTTGATGGAGAGGAGGAAATAAACTTTGCTGGCGCTGTCGTCATGGGGGTTAAATCCTCCAAAGAGAAGAATCGCGACCTCAGGTGAAATGGAAAAAGCGAGAAAGACTGGTGTTTCTTATTCATTGCAGTTCCCCTCCCTGGAACCAAAATATCCCTCCGCTCAGTAGCAAGAAGGTCCACACCAGAGGGAAACAACCCCGCGTTCAAAAGCTCAGTGCGTGCAAAACTGCCCAAGTTGGTGTTTGGCAGATACCTGAATAACGCATGAACGCCATCCTGCTCCACGGCTACTGTGTTGTACGGTTGTTTCTCTTGCATGCGAAGAGTTGCCTGAACCCCGCGTAGCTCACCCCCACCGCTTGTATTCGTGGAAATCGTTTGCGCTTGACCTTCGCACACCACACCGTCGCAAACATGTAAAACACTGTTCTCAGTCATATCCATGCACACCGGGGTGAGTAATCGAGACTGAAGTTCCCGGGTAAACGACATGACACCATTTTGATAATCGGCCTCCTCATCCAGTCCCATGCGTCTTTGATGCTGTGTTGGATGCACCCCTTCTTGCTCCTCCTTTAATTTGAAATTAACAAAAATGGTGCCTCGCCACAGACCCACCAGACTCTCTGTCATTAACTTCTCAATCAAATGCAAGACTCGCGGGTCACTTATCGACCCCTCACTGATTCTCTCACAAGAAGAGATCAATGGCGACGATGTATCTATTTGCTGTGCGCCCTCCTTTGGATGCATCCTCTTCCTCTCTTGCCTCAATGCGTCATAAAACATTTCCATGGAGGCATTACTTAAATACGCATGAAACCACATTTTATGCTTTGGAACGGATGCACATCGTCTTGGAGGCCTTAAAAGGCGACGCCTCAAAAGATTCTTCAACTTTCCCCTTGCGCCTGCAAGACTAACCTCGTCAAGAAAAATCATTGGATGTTCTCCCACAATGACATCTGCCACCGTGTTGAGTGGCAGCCACGACGGTGTAGTAGAGTGCTGCTTCAAAACAAGGTCGTGTTCGCCGTAGATGCACATCAACAGCAGCGGGCCCTCACTATGATGCAACAGTAGCTTCATCCCCATAAGCGTTGAAAACAAAATGCGGCGACGCACAAGAGTCGTCGTGTCACACACAAAAAGTATGTTGGGTGTCACAACCAGAAGGCACGTTTTCCAGACTCGCCTGGCGGTGAGACGCAGCACCTGTCGCGCTAACAGTGTTTTGTCGGATGCAAATCGCCGTGGAATGACGCCCACAGGCCTTCGATAGTCTCGTGGCTCCCGTACAAAATCCGGAAACGATCTCCTGTGTTTCTTTTCCAGAACATGAACCGTGTCTTCATCACCCTCATCCTCCTCGTTCTCCGCCAATGAGAAACGCGTCTCAAAGGAAGAAGAAGAAGAAGAAGGGGATCGCACCAGGACGGGAACGTCAATCCCATCACACCCCAACAAAACTAAAATGGCATTCGCAATCATGCCGGCGGTACATAATTGCTCCCGGTAGTCCCCCTCACACCTGTCGACACGTGAAGGAGGAGTGGGAAACTCCATGACAATCGTCGTCTGCTGGATTCTCTCACCTTCCTCCTCCTCCTCTTCTTCTTCTTCCTTCTCCCCCGCTGGCAGGGTCGTCGCCCTTGTCGGCATGTCTTGACCTCCCGCACGCCCCTCAAAAATCATCGTTAATTTGCCACCCCCCGCATCCTCGCCGTGGCAGGGCAACTCCACGCCCATCCTGGCCAAGCTGTACAGGGAGTAAACAAGAGCCCCGCTCCTTTGAGCGTCACCAGCCTCGTCATGAAACAGAACTACATCGTGTTTCGTAAGAAGAAGACTCCGTGTGCCAGCAATGGGTGTTGCATCGTACACAACATCATGCCGCGCGTCCAAAATGTCCTTCTGGTCCTCCCTGTCGTGTTTTGAGCGACGCATCTTCACGACATCGTCCGTCGGTGGCCACCGAGAGACGATGGAGGTTGCCATGGAGACCATTCGTACCTTCTCCATCATAACAACAACAGGATAATCCTGAACAAACGACAGCAACGCATCGGAATGCGGTGACTGCCCTCTACATGTGATAGTACAAAAAGATCGTGTCACTTTTACTGCGTTCCAGGAGAAAAGTTTTACCACCACGCCCACCTCAACACCTAAGCCATCCTCCTCATCACCACCACCGCCACCCCACATCTCTGCACACCGACGCAGATCAATGCATTCAGTTCCGTCACATTCCTTGCGGTGTTCACACGCTACAATCTTCATAATCCTCGCTGTGTGGCGACGCCGAACAAAACGTGATTGCAAAGGAGCGTAACTTTCAGCAAGTAAAAACATACGCCCAATGTCATTTTTAGACAACTGCAGGGAAGTAGGAAGGGTCAAGTCCTCCACAGAGTGCAAGACAAGTGACGACAAGGAGACTGATGCATACAACTCAATAATACGATTGGCAACCGTCAATATCCCCAGGCCCGCATTCTTTAATTCACGGCAAATGGTGGTTTTTTCACTCCTCCAAATAACGACATCATGCTCACGCATTACTTGGATACGCAGCACCGTACCACGAGCATATAGAGTAAGCGCATCAATCGCACACAGAGGAATAAAGCGCCTTACCCTGTAATCTAAAAAAGAACTCCTGCCATCCACCTTCGATACCCCTTCATCATGTTCACATGGTGGTGGTGAAGTCGATAGAAACAAAAGGCCATCTTTGTGGATCAAAAGAATACGAGGTTTAATGGTATTCTTGTAGCCAAGCTTCATAATATCCACCGCCATGCATGCAGCGGGAGTGTCACTTGGCAATTCATTTATAACTGTTGCCTCCTCCCCTTTTTTTTCCTGCCCTTCTTCACCTGCCGCAGTAAAAAATGGCCTCATAAATATTAACAAAGTTCTTCGCCCACAAAATGCGGTCGACAAAAAAAAAAAAATAAGAAGGCGGTGTAAACCATCACCTGGTGAAAGAAGCACATGCATACATGCATGCACACACACACACACAGAGAGAGAGAGAGAGAGAGAGAAAGAGACATATAAAGATAGATGGATAGATACGTGAATGTGCACAGAGAGAAAAAAAAAAAAAAAAAAAAAAGAGAGAGAGACCAGGAAGAAAAATAAAATCGTAAATGATAAATAAAGGAATAATTAGAATTATTTATTATTTTTGTTTTGTTTTCGCTCCCCAACAACAACAACAAAAAAAAAAAAAAAGAGATGAAAAAAGAGATGAATAATATATATATATATATATAATAGAATAATATTCCGATTCCGGGCAGCTGGCCGAATCCTGAAAACCTATGAAAACCCAAACAAGTCAAGAAAAAAAGGTTAGTTAATTGCTTCAATATTTTCTTTTCATTCAATTATATATATAGAATTCTGTGGACCACTAGCATGGTCCCTTGTCCTCGGTTAGAATCTGAATATAATTACTTACGAATTGGCAGACTTTAGGGTCCTCCAACCACAAGACCCCGCCGCGTGGTGGGAATCAACGGGGTGGGTGGGTGGGATGGCAAAATAAAAACAAAATACACTGGCCTCTATCGGTTCCCTGCCCCCTTACAAAGTCGCGTTCTTCCCAAAAGATTCATACGGCAGAAAAGTATCATAAAGAATGCATTCATTTTATCAGGATGTAAACATACATTATAATTAAGTTAGCCAGCCCTCCCGCGATCATTCTTTTCACAAGCTCCTATGAAAAAAAAAAAAAAAAAAAAAAAAAAGAAAAAAAAAAACCGTACAACCAACGAGAAAACGTACAAACACACACACAGACAAATACAGAAAAAAAAAAAAAAAAAAAAAAAAGAAAGAGTACTGAAATGTCTATAAACATCACAGCAATGGATAATTCTGGCGCATTTCCTTCGGCCACACACTGCACTGCACCTCCCCAATATGTTTCTTTTTAAGCAACAGCATCAGCAGACGACTCTGACCAATACCGCCTCCAATAGTCTGCGGGAATTCACCGGCAAGCAGCCGCTTGTGCCACACGTACCCCAGACGGTCCTCGTTGGACAACAGGGTAAGCTGGCGTCGAAGTGTTTCAGCATCCACGCGAATCCCCATGCTGCTCAGCTCCAGTACGTCATCGAGGACAGGGTTGTACACAAGAATGTCACCATTGAGTCCAGGCAGTGAGGCCAGAGAATTCATTGTTGGATCCCCACAAGGGAATGTGATATCTGCCGCAGAAACAGGTGAAGACCAGTCATCATAGTCGGGTGCCCGTAGATCGTGCGGTTCGCCGCTGGTTAGATTGCCACCGATGCCAATAAGAAAAACAGCACCGTACTTTTTCACAATGGCGCGCTCACGTTCCTTCATATTCATTTCGGGGTACATCTTCAAAAGATGCTCGGCGTGTAAGAACTGAATGTTGGCTGGAAGCACACGGTCCAAGTTGTATTTGGAACAAATAGCCTCTTCCGTCTGGCGAATCGCCGCGTAAAGACGCTGAACTGTGTTCTTCAAAAATGTTAAATTACGCTCTTGCGGTGGCATCACCAATTCCCAGTCCCATTGATCCACAAAGACGGAATGTGTCGTGTCAAGCTCTTCTTCCACGCGAAGCGCTTTCATGTGGACATAAATTCCCTGGCCAACAGGAAACTTGTGGTCCCCAAGTGTTTGTCGCTTCCACTTGGCAAGTGAGTGCACCACCTCAAATTTTGAGTCTGGAATCCCTTTTACATGCACCTGCACAGCCTTTTCGGTACCGGAAAGATTATCCTGTGTTCCGTCGCCACAACACGCGAGAAGTGGGGCCTGAACCTCAACGAGGTTAAGTTCCTTCGCCAGAGCACTGCTGAACACCTGTTTCACTGTTACAATCTGCTCTTGCAGCTGAATAAAAGCCGCAGGATCTCCCGATGTCATTCCCCTCTTTTTCCCCTTTTCCCTTTTCGTATTATTCTTATTATTATTACTATTAGTAGTAGTAGTAGTAGTAGTAGTAGTATTCACGGCTTTGTTTTTTCTTTTTTTCCTTTTCTTCTACTGGTCGTTGTTGTTCACTACGGCAGCAATAATAAATGTCAAAATAGAGGAGATGCTATTTCACCTTTTCTTTTCTCCCATACAAATATATATTTATATGTATGTATTTTATGCTCAAAACCCTTTCCTCCTCTTCCAAAATTTTGCCTCGTTGATTTCTGCCTATTTGTTCACGTACACAAATGTCCCTTCGTCCAGTCGCAGCCTCCCCCCTCCCAAAAAAAAAAAAAAAAAAAAAAAAAACAAGCACAATTTAAAAAAAAAAAAAATTTTATTTATTTTTCTGGTGCGCACGCTAAACCCCTACAGAAGAGAGAGAAAGAGAGAGAGAAGAACAACAACAAAAAAAAAAAAGAGATTTATGCATATTTGTTTACAATTATTTATGTAAAAGAAATATGTACACAAGCGGTAACGCATAAAAGTATGGAAATGCGTCACAGACAAAGTCACACACGCAACAAACTTCCATCATCACGATTACAACGGCTTCTACGCGGATGCAGACACACACACACACAGAGGGAGAGAAGGGGAGAAATAATTTCGAAGCAAAAACCGTTGGAAAATTTAAAAAAAAAAAAAAAAAGGAAAAAAGGGAAAAAAAGGGGGTGGACGCAACAAAAAGAAAAAGAAAAAAAAAAGCAAGATGCACTTCCATGCGTCTTTTCCATCTTTTTTTCTTTTTTTCTTTTTTTTTTTGTTTCTTCTTCTTCTTTTTATCTGCTGGTTGGCTAGTTATTTTGCATTTCGTTACAGGGCGTCTGGGGCGGCTCCACCACGCACCGATGTGCGCTCAATCTCATTGGCTGTGTTTATCACTTGTTGCGCAAAACAAAGGGCCTCACTTAGTGGCGCCAGGTTCTCGTCCGTACTGTAACCGGGCCGCAGCTTCCAGTGCACGGTGCTGCTACGAGATCGAAAAAATGTCAGTCGTGAGGCGGGTGTGACTAAATTTTGTTTTGCCACGTGTTGAGTAGGAGGCCCACGACCTCCACGTCCTCGTGGCTTCTCTCGCGCCACGTGGTGGGAAACTGTTGTAATGGGCACCATCCCCTGCGCGATACGGCTTTTAAGGGCACGAGCAGCCGTAAAATTTTCAATCCAGAGTGAAGACGTGCTGTCGACTGTGAGGTCTGTTCCTCGTGGCTTCACGCGTGAGGTGTGCTCGACGATGATGCTCTCCACATTAAAGTCCTCCGACTCGGCATCAACCTCGCAGACATGCGAGAGGTCCATACTTTCGTAGCCAATCGTTGAGCCATGGTGAATTAAATTATGCTCGGCGAGGGACAATTTGTCGAGAATCGCTTCTGCAATTGGGGCGGCAGGGTGTTCTGTATGCTGCTTCCAGCGGTGGTAAGCATGAAACTCGAGTTCAAATGGAAATGCCACAGTTTTCTTCCGCATGACAACTTTGCCGATGGGAGCCGTACCGCTGCCAACAGCACCCAGATTTCCATTTTCTTCATTAGCAGACTTCGGTGCCGCAACGGCCACGCCTGTCTCGTCCACAGAGAATACCGTCCATGTAAACGTTACACCAGAACTCTCCATGTCCAGTAAGACAAACCGATTCTCATGCGCATCCCACATAGCGCGTGCCACGGAACGACTCTGTCGCTCATTTGAGAAGAAACAAATTTTTACAAGAGAAAACACCGCCTCAGACTGAAGAGCGCCACACTCCCTGTCCACTGCACGAGAAACACATGTAGGTGCATCCTTCAAAAAATAAAGCTGCATAGACTCTTCATTCATACGTTGCACAAACTCGCTGAAGGTAGCGTACTTTAACGGCGTACTGTACGATCCTTCACGTGCGAGGCAGCAATAGGCCGCACCAAGGTTTAGATTAATAGAAACATGTTGCATACGAACGTCCTCCATGCTAAGAAGATGCTTAAACTCATCAAAAAAATACTTTCGAAGTGTGTCAAAGCGTGTAGCTGTAAGGACAGGGCTGTTTGACACGGAAGACGGCTGACCCATATTGCTTGTATTGGAATCCCGCAATTCAACCGTCAGTGGGAGTACAGTTTCCTCATCCGCGTAAAAGTCCACATCCTCGCCTCTCTGGAACGTATCCCCTTCTTTTATTTCACGATTTTCTTGAGAGACTGTCTCATTTTCCCTTTGTGGCGCCTGTTCTTGTTCCATCGACTTTGTCTCTTCCGTCTGCTTTTCCTGTTCGCTATCAACCTTCCCATGTTGCTCGTCACACTCTTCTGAAATTGTCTCAGGGTCGCCATTGACGTCCTCTTGACCGGGAAAACCCTCCGTTTGGAGTTCTTCAGAGTGGTCATGCTTCTCTTCCTCGGCCTTGTTGTTGTTGTTGTTGTTGTTGTCACAATTTGCATCTGTCGAATCATCCTCTACCGCCGGCCGCTGGGGGCGTGGCCTGCCAACGCTGATATTCACCAGACGAATGAGTTTATTCTGCAACTTAAACGGCTTTAACCCCTTGTGACCAAAAAGTTTCAGCGTGATGGGACGGGACGGGTTCTGCAGCTCACCAACAATGATGCAATACCGCCGTCGCTTCTCGCCACGAAAAAGAAGTTGTCGGACGGTATCCGTCTCGTGCTCAGTTTCACATACACCAAAGTTTTCACGGATGTTTAGCGGAATATCACGCTTCTGCCCGCCGTACTCCGCTGCAAGATCCTCCTCCGGCACCCGTGGCGCCGGCGGATGGGAAACAGCCGGCAGAACTGTTGTTGTCACGGCCGTCAAGACAGACGCACCGTCGCTTACCGCACTCGCTTTGGTGTTGTTGACAAGAGGCTGATCCGCCCGCATTGGCTGATTGAATGTTCCCCGACCTCGTCTTCGAGGAATTACCGCAGGGGCGCTACCTGCCCCCGCCACCGAAGCAGGCCGCTCCTGTTGTTGTTGTTGTTCTGGCTGTTGTACAGTAATTGATTCCATCGCCGCCTTGTGGTTCACTCCTGCCACCTTGTTGGAACGCGATTCACACACACACAAACAAGCTCACACTTTTCCTTGCAGTTGCTGTGGGAACCGGTGGAAAAAGAAAAAGTATTTATTTATTCTTCTTGCCCCTCTCCCCCATTGTCCCCGCAGAGAAACAAAGAAGAGCACACACACACACAGAGAGAGAGAGAGAGACAAGCAAAAGTAATGAGAGCAACAGGGGAAAAAAAAAAAAAAAGCTCAAATACACCAGCGTGTGTTTAAATACAGAAAAACTAAAAAACAAAAACGAAAAAGGGGAAGCAGTGAGAAGGCGGCAGACACACACAAAAAAAAAAAGTGCGAGTAGTGATAAAAGCCAGTTTGACGGCGAACGGGGCCGTTGCCCCTCCGTTCCCAGCAACTCCACCACCCCCTCTTCGCCTTCCCCCTTCCCACTCATGGCAATTAAGGACACAGCCACGCTATTACAAAAGGCGAAATTGAAACTCGATAATTGCCCAGGAAGTTAATAAGTATAATCATCCTCAGCATATTGGTAGACCCACCCCTTCTCTTCCTGTAAATGCACGTCTCCCACATACATTTATTCCTTCTTTTGTTTTGTTTTGTTTTTTTTTCTTTTCTTGTTTTCTGCACTATTCCAAGACACTAAGCTTTATTGGAGTGTTCGCACCATTATCTCAGACACCGGTGAGGAAGTAACAGAGAGAGGGAAAAGAAATAGTACGCGCAAGCTCGATAAAGAGAAATAATAATAATAATAAATCAATGCGAGGGACGAATGCGGAATCCACCAAAGACAGTAGCGGCACTGACCACGGAATTACGCGACTCAGATCGACGATTCATGGATACTCTAGGAAAATGGTCCGCGTATTTGTCGTTTTCCCCATCGTCTGCCTGAGCATTCCAAGCTGTCCGGCCGTATGCCTTTTCAGGTGACGGCAACTGCCGTGAATATGGATAAGACTGCAGTCCGACACCATTGCGCGAGTAAGAATACTGCGCCAGGTCATTCTGTGGCGCTGAACATGACGATTGCCGGACACCCAAACCACCATGAGTTCCAATTTGGCCCTGTCGCTGCTGTTGGTGGGGTGACGATGGCGGTGATGGTGGTGGTTGACGTTGGAAGTAGCCACTGCTTCCGCCAGTGTCGCCGCTGTCCTTTCCTCCCTTCATCTTGGCTGTTGGATGGTCGGGGTAATTACATGCCACTGCATGTGGAACCGCAGGGACATAATGCGCATGATGATGGTGGCCAACACCAGCAGCGGCAGTAGAAGGGCACGTGACCCTTGATGTCGACACGACTGTTTTTTCCTCATCTGACAGCAGACTGAGCCGCAACTTCTCTAGTTCCCCCATGCACACGGAACAAATGATACTTTTTGTTACCGCGTTGGTGAGAACGCGATCGAGCGTCGTTCCGAGAGAGTCCTTCTGGCCCAATGACGGGGGATTCGCAGCCATTTTCTCTGGGTTGACTTCCCCCGCGCCGGAGGTGAGGGCCCGCTGATACGCTAACTCATTAAACCCACGTGAGAGAGCAACCGTGAGTTCACCCAACTGCCGGACCAACTCTTGATTCTGTTCACGGAGAAATATAAGTGTTCGTTCCGCCTCATCTTTTTTGTCCACAGCCCTCGTCCGGCATTGCAGCTCACGTAGCGCCAGATCCTTTTCATACAACTTCATATTTGCCTCCTTCAGTGCCATTTCCATCGCCCCATACTCCTGCTTCATCTTCATCATCTGTGTGGTGAGGGCCTTGTTGGTGCGTGCCAAGGCCTCGTAGGAGCGTTGAAAGTCCAATGCCATCGCTTGTGATGTACCAGACGACAACATGAGTTTTTCCAGCAAATTCGTCTCATCCATAAGGCGCTCCAGAGGATCCTTATACGTCTCAATCTGCATGAGTTCCCGTCCCTTCTCGCTAAAAGAAAAAACTGTCTGATGGCTGTTGTCACCCTTGTCGTTCCTGAGATCGTTATTGTTATTATTTCCTGCGTCGTCCGTGAGAGGTGTCGCAGGCACCACAGTCAAATCCATCTGCTGATTTGTTACAGACGCCGCGGAATCCACATAAGCCTCGGCAGCACCACGCGAAGACACCGAGGGTTCCGCCTCCCTCTTCTCCACCTTTGCCGTCGTCCTCTCTTCGGCTGCCGTGTCCTCAACAATTCCCTCCTTTTGAGCCCGGCGTTGCTTCATAAGCTCCTTCTTCAAGTCCCAGCATGTCTGCTTCGTCTTTGTATTGTAGTAATATGTCCTCCCCGTCTCCTCCTGCTTCATGGTCTTCCAAACCCCGCTCTGAAGCAGCTGCTGCACCTCCTCATCCTTTACCCCCGCGTCCCCATTGACATCCATAACGGGTGTCTTCTTCTTCCTCTTCTTCTCATCCTTTGACATGTCCGCCATTCAGACTCTCGGCCTTGAGCCATAAAAGAAAAAGAAAGACGTTAAGAAAAAGAAAACAATAAGAAAATAATACAAAAAGTAGGGAATCAACCAGCAACGTCGACACTGCAGCTGGACAGCACATCGCCAAATGACCCTCCTCCACTTCCACAGGAAATAAAGAAAGTAGACATATATATGAGGCTGATGGATCTCTTTTCCTCGCAAGCCTCGTGTGCAGCTTGAATGCAGCAATGACAAAATGCAACTCTCTTCAATGGCCACTTCACTTCTTTATTCCCCTTTCGGCCGTTGTTCTTCTTCTTTTTGTTGCTGTTGGCGGTGGTTGTGTTAATCTTTTCTCTCGTCGTTTCGTCCGTCTTTCATTCCTCAATCAATCTTCCTACCGTACTTATCCACACGAAAAAACGTTTGTCCCAAAGACCGCGGTTTCAGCATGTTGTTTTTCACGTACGTTCCGTAGCGACCGCTTTTACGACATGCCTCCTCCATGCGTTTATTTGCATGCGCCCACTCCTTCTCTCCGGGGTATTTAATGTGCTTCCACGAATTGCCCTTCCCCGAGGGGAGGGAAGGCACAAATGAGACGCTCACCTCCCTGTCATTTGCAACAATACTCGTAAAGTGATGATAAATCAATTTCTCTTCAGCATACCGCTGCATCGCCTGACACATTTCCCTTATTTTACCAATGGCCGCCTCGGGAGACTGAAACTCCTTGATGGTGATTTTAACAGGATGACGTTTCTTGATATCCTCCACAATCTTTTTGCTTTTCCACCCTAAAAAATGAGCATCGACCACGTCTCGAAAAGAATGATCAACAAGCTCACGTATTTTACCCCCTGCCTGATCACTACCCCCACGATGACTGCTTTCTTCCTGCTTCTCTTCTTCACGGAGAGCCTCTAGTTCGGGGCCCACAAGCCCTAAAATTCGAGGAATCTCACGACGAATACGACAGTACGCAACATCCCCGCGAGTTCCCATCTGCACCAGATTCATCTCTCGCTCTTGTGCTTGTTCCAGTGCCTCTGACAAATCACAGGGGCTTAATGACATTTTCGTCTCTCTGCCGGATTCAGGGTCCTCCACATGGGTGATATGAACTGTCGGCTGTGTAATGAGAGTGTCCATGGGATGCTGCTGCAGGTACGCCCTCACCTTCTGCGTCGCTGCATCCGGTGCATTCTCAGGAAGAAGATCACGTACAATTGCATCAAGACTTTTCTTCGCTACGTGGATTGCCGCATCCTTCTGCACACTGAGAGCGGGGTCGAAGACGTAATCGTCTTCGGATGAATTGGTGCCCTCACGACCCCCACCCGCTGTCGTAGAAAAATAACGTGCTTGTAGATTCCATGACGTAAATGGAGCCACCTGCAGGTTCAATGGAGGAAAAAAAAGCGGCAACGGAAGACGTGCTGAACGACGCCAACAGCTGGTAGCGGAACAAACCAGCAGAGGACGGCACATCTTACAGCACACCATTTTTTTCATCAAGAAACCACAAAAGAAAGCAATGCCCAGCCCCCTCACCCACTCTAAAGTGAAGAGAAAAAAAGAGAGAGAGAGAGAGAGAGCAAAGGACACAAAACTGCAGCGTCCCACCCATCCACCCCAAGAAAAAAAAAAAACAGGGAGAAGCACAAAGGATGGCACAGTGACCTCGTAGTAGCCCAACGGCAAACCTCACGCATGCGTGAAGAAAAAAACACCCGCAAACACACACAGAGAAAAAGAGGAAAAACACGGAAATGTAAAGAAAAAAAGCCCATCACGGCTTCAATGCAAACGTCATGCTCACACCGTAGTGATCCGAGGGAAACAAGTAGCCAGGAGCTTCCTTATTGCCATTCTCGTCGTTCACACTTTTGGTGCCTACAAGGTGCCCCTCCACCGGAGCAAGACGACGACTGCGCAAAAACAATTTATCCGAACGTCCAAAAAACATCTCTTCCACCTTCAGTTTGCAAAATGTATTCGTCTCGTCCATCGTTTTCCAGCATCGTGTGGTAAATAAGCGGCCAACAATCAACGTATTGTGATTCCGCCGGCATAAGAAACTCATTTGTGGGCCAGTCGTTAAAGTCGCCCATCGTCACAACATCACCAGTCAATGTCTTTAACATGTGATGCCGCAACGCGGAATCTTGGGAGGTACGTGCCGTCTCATGAGATTTCGTGTACGGGGCCAAAAGATGTGCAGCGGCCACGTGCACGGGCCCATGTGGCAACTGAAGACACACAACGGGCATTAAAGAGACGTGATTTGTCCACGCGGGAACATTTAGATATGTAATGCTTTGAACTGGAAATCGCCGGCGGTGCACGAGCATGAGCACACCCCAAGGTGAAATAGATGGACTTGTGTAACCGCATGAGAAGTAATAATTCTCACGCATCCACGGCTGTTTTGAAAGAAATTCCCAGAAAACGGGTTCAACTTCTTGCATGCCTACAACATCTGCATCCTCTTGCTGAATAACCCTTGCGAGAACGGGGTACCGTTTCGGGGAACACCAATCAATACCAGGCATTCCCAACGGGGTTGGCTTTCCGCTATACCG